AGCCTCTAGGGGGCTAGCCAACCCCATATCTGATGACCTCCCTCCCCAACCCAGGCCAGATGGCAGAGCCAGATCTTCAAGTCCCTCCTTAGGTTCGCCCCCAAGAGTGGTGTGAAAGCATTAGGAATTTCTGCTAGGGCAGTATTCCAGTCTTTGGATCATTCTTTTTCTTAGGGAATCCCTGTAGTAGATTCCATCCTGTAACAGAGAATTCAGCGATTGAGAACATATTTTGCAGTTTGCTGGCAGAGAGAATGAGGATTCAGAAAAATAACTCTTTATGGCACGGAAACTAGGACCAAAGCCTATATTTTCTTTCTAGATATTCTACTGTAAAATAAGTGCTTTAAAAACATTATTTTAATCATACTTCTTGTGTCCTTAGGGAAATCCAGAGGAACACTCTATTCTAGAATTTGCCCAGTTAATTAAAAAGCTTGTTGGTAAGTACAACGTATAATTACTTTTTAAAGAAAATGTAGAACTTCAGACTTTAGGTGACATATGTCTCCTGCTGATTACTACATGGGAAGTAATAAATTTTATAAATAAATACATAAAAATTCAAATGATATAATTTGGAGCTGCTATAGAAAACCCAATGAAGATGTAATAAGAATTATGATAAAAATAAAGGAAAAATTCCTTTATTTTTATCATAATTATCATAAATAAAGGAAAAATTCCTTTATAGGCCTGTAGATCCTAAAACCCCTGTGCTCCATGGATACTTTGAATGCATTATGAAGCCTTTGATGTGGAATGTCTTGCAGAAGGAAATTATCTCTTTCTAGAAATTGAAATTGTAACAGCAGTCACTCAACAATATGCCTAATTATAAAATGTGTTTACAGGCAGTGGAAGTGAAATCCAGTTTCTGTCAGAAGCTCAAGATGATCCTCAAAAAAGGAAGCCAGATATCAGAAAAGCAAAGCTATTACTTGGTTGGGAACCTGTGGTATGTAACGTTAATCAATTGTATTGTTGTTTTAAAATGTAATATTATTCATTTCAAACTATTTACGGCAAATTATTTAAATTGATTCTGTGTTGTGCTCCCTTCTGGGGATTAGGAGAAAGAGGCATTTTAAAAAATAGCCCGTTCCTTCTGTTGATTCTTTACATAAAGCAAGCTGAACTCGGGAGAAACTCTGAAACCAGTCATTTTAACAAAGCAACTGAAACAAAATATATAAATCTATATTTCTCCCCTGTAAATGTCTTGTTTTTTGCTACTTCAAATTTTATCAAATTCCTTAAAACAAGCAAACTTCCATGAATAGATGGAGGAGTATATTTTTAGGAGGTGGGGGTTTATAATTAAGTACTGCATATTCTGGAAACATGGATAGTCTCTCTGTTTCTCTTGCTCCCCCGGAACAGGTTCCATTGGAAGAAGGTTTAAATAAAGCAATTCATTATTTTCGGAAAGAACTGGAATATCAAGCGAATAACCAGTATATTCCTAAACCAAAACCTGCTAGGATAAAAAAAGGAAGAACCAGACATAACTAAAAACTCAATTGGACAAGAAATGAAATGTCTTACCTTGTATTGGAGAAGATGTCGTATGTCTTTTGGAAAAGACTTCAGAAACAGGTATAATGAAGAAAAAGAACTGGAATTTCACTCTGAAGCTTGCTTTAAAGAAGTGGATGTGCCTCAACAAGAAAACTGCAATTCTTGCCTTGCACTTTTTAAATCTGTCTTTTTATGTAAAATAGATGCATCCTTTTTTAGTACCTTCAGGTTTTATATCTTGCTGTGAGATCATTTGTTCTAACTGTCCTTGACAGTTTTATTTACTGGTTTCTTTGTGAAGCTGCGGATAAGATAAGAGGGGCAGAATTGCCAATTTATTTATAAAATGGGTACTTTAAATGAGAGATACTATGCATAAAGGAGAAAGGGTAGCAGTATTGTCAGGTGACAAACACTGGCATTTAGTAAACAATCTGTACAAGAGCTTTATGTATTCTTTAAATCCATTTTTCCCCCAAACGTTTAGTTCTAGTTGCCTACTTGAATTTGAACTTTTTCCACTGAACACCATGGATAAATGCTATTTTAAATCACTACTGTATTGTGCATACTCTGGGCAAGAGTTAATGTATTATTGGTTACCAGTGGTTGGATATGCTATTTTAATAAAACACTGAACCTTACAGATTTAAGTAAGTGAAAACCCTGTGGTTGTGGGCATATTATTATACGGATATAACAAACTGATGTTATATCCATTTGCCTCTGAGTAACTGATCCTTTTAAACAATAGTATGTGAGTTTTTAGACAGTATACCTTTTGATGAGTACAACTCATTTACAAATAACCCTGTGGAATTAAATTAAAAATCAAGTAGGTATGGATATGGATGAAATTTAGTGGATCTTCCAGAGCACGTTGGGCAGGGAAAGAGGAAGAGGCGCAAACATGGATAACTTCTCCTTTCTCTAGCAATATAATTAAGCTATATTGCTATTTGCAGTACTAACCCACTTTTAACAAAAATAACAAGTTGCCACTTCCACAAGTTTCAACTACCATTACTATTGACATACTGTAATTGAATCACACATTCCTACAGAAACAATGGCATCCTGTTTTCTTTAGGGAAATGCTTTTGAATGTCTTAAATAATCCTATTCCAAGTTTTTCATGTTTTGACATTAGGCAAAATTTGAGATGTATGGGAGTGGAGATGGCCAGCCAATTTCTGCTGTCTTGAAGCAGAGCTACAGTAACAGTGCTCAGCCACCAGCATAACAGTGCTCAGACAGAATTGTGTGTGTGATCTCCAAGCCTTTATAACAATCCTTAATGCAAATCAAGGGAGAAAACCCTTTTGGTGACTGGGAGAGAACACTTCAGTGTTTTTAAAGGAGCAAAAGTGATGGTCCAAAGAGGAAGGGTTGTCAAGCCAGTAGGCTGGGAAGAATATTTTTACGCCCAAGGTGCATTTCAGAGCTTGCACTAGTTTTTCTCAAAATAATACAAAACCATGCTGTGAGTTTTCAGCAGTTTTATTGCCAAATTATGGTAGTGGGATGGGGAGTTACGAATTACCCTCCTTGATATAAATCATGCAGATAGAATTGCTCCGTACATCCATATCGTTCCGAATTGCAGCACTTAAGAAAAAGGGTTTCTTGACTAGAATACTTACGTGCAGTGGATTCCAGAACTAACTAGTGTTTTGTGAAATGGATCTGCAGTGGTACTTCATAATGCTAGCCATATTGCGCTCTTCCTGATGAGAGTGATACATGAGCACACGTATGCCTTACTCTTTGTTCAGAGATGCAAAAGAAACTATGGTAATATTGCCTACTTCTTTGATTTATAAAAGCATTTTCTTTCAGAAACATATTACTAAATCGATTTAGGAAGGAGAAAAGACAAATCGTACTCATTATATGGTACATGGATATACATAATTGGCATATTCAAGATAGGGACTTCAACCTACCTTCTCTTGGCCTGGAAACACTGGTGGCTTGGGAGTTTGTGGCAACCATGGCAATCTTGTATCTCACCCCAACTTACTAGGGGCCCATCTCACAGAGGAGGGCACCGATTAGATCTGGTTTTTGTCTTGGGGCAGTGGCAACATCATCTGGGGTTGGGGAAAGTTATCATCAGTTGCTTGTCATGGACAGACCACTCCCTTTTGGCCATGGAGTTCTCTGTAAGCTAGCCCCACTGCAGGGAGGAGCAGCCTATTCAATCGGCCAGTCCCAGGCAACTGATGGATGCAGGAAACTGATGGGTTTCAAAGGGAATTTGAGGTTATTCCTGAAGCTGTGGTACACAGTTCAGCCAAGGCCTTAGTTGCAACCTGGAATGAGCATGTTGTGAATCCTGTAAGTGCCCATGGTTTACCAAGGGTCTTCAGGAGATATAATGACACAAGAGACACCTGGAGCACCACTGGAGGAAAATAAGCCACCAGGCACAGGTAGGAGCCTTTATTAGGACTTACCTTGTGACAAAAGCAGCAAAGTGAGCTCACTTCTCTACTCTTATTGCATTTGCATATAGCCAACAGCAGCTTTATTCTAGGTGATCAGATCCCTTCTGGGTAAGGAAGGGCCAGGAGAACCCTTGTAGGGCCCTATCAGACAAAGTCACTTGGCTTCACTCTGACTGGACTCTGGCTGGGCAGGTCCTATGGAAGTGACTAGCTTGGTTAGCTGGGAAGAATTTGGGCCAGTTGATTCTGAAGAAGTGGCCAGGGTCCTAGCTTCTATGAGCTCTGCCACATGTTTGGACTGTTGCCCCCTCCAAGTTGGTTAACAGAAGGTTGTTGAGAAAGTGGTGGGTGCTTGGTATTGGAGGCCCCTTGATGAAGTTATTATCTAGACCTTTTTCAATCAGGGTTCAGGCCAGGTTATAGTACTAAGATGGCATTGGTCACACTTGTCAGTCTCTGAAAAGCTTGGGATGGGAATAGTGCATCCATTCTTGCCCTTCTGGGTCTCTCAGTAGCATTCGGTACCATCAACCAATTCTGGATCAGATTTGGAGACTGGAAATGAGAATCACTGTTTTGCAGTGGTACCCCTTCCCCTGTCACTGGTTCCAGTTTGGGTTGGAGGGGAAAGTCTAGCTCTAGGCTCATCTTATATGGGGTGACTCAGGGGTTGGGTCTCTTACCACTCCTATTTAGCAACTAATAAAGCTTCTGGGTGAGGTCACTCGTCAGCAGGGGGTGCAGTATCAAATGATAACTATACGTCTCCGCCTAGACTGTGCAGATGATGCTGTTCAGGTGCTGACCCAGTGCCTGGAGGCTGTGAGTGCCTGGATGGGGAAGAACTGACTGCAACTCAACCCTAGCAAGACAGAATGGGTTTCCGTTTTTGGCCCCCTGGGATCTGGAGGGCCCTTACCCTCTTAGCCTTGAACCTTCAGGCCATGAATTTGATTTCCCCAATGGTTGGGCTAAGATGGGAGTGAACCCAGCAAATGCAGAGTTGGTATGGTGGTGTCATGGTACTGTTGGGAGAAATAGGTTGTTATTGTGTGACGCTGTTGTTCTATTTTTAAGTTGTTGTGAGCTGGCCATTGTTAATGTGTATAAAACGGGTGGCCATATTTGTCTCAGTAAGGAAAGTTTGTTTTCATAAGATAACTATTTCACCAAAATACTTAATTGAAGTTTATTATAAAAAAGCTTTAATTCTAATGCAGATACAAATGTTAGGGAATATATGCAAGACCATTTTTTCTTGGTCTCCACCCCACCCCCCGCCATCAGCTAAAAATAAGAACCAGGTTAAAAGTAGAATCAATATAAAAAATCTTCCTAGTGTCTTTACACAGAGAAGGGTTAATAATCATAACTGATACAGAGAAGAAAGGGTTAATAATCATCATAGTTGACATTTGCTCCATGTCTGAAGGTGTGTGGGTTTCGTGGGCCAATAGGAGCATCTTCATCATAATGGTGATGATAATAGCCGCCATAATATTCATGGCCACTACGGCCTAGGTTTGACCAGTAGGAGATATCATCTTCAAATTTCTGCAGAAAAGGAGAAAGTGAGGATTTACTGAAGTCATAGGTTCATCGTAAAAATAATAAAAATGCTCTGTTTTACTAGATGCTTAAAATATATTTTTCTTTCATTATTGATCAAATAATTTCCTACAAAATGGTATACGTACTGTATACCATCTTCTGTAGTACACTGTGGAGGATAAACTTCGAGTTTAAAAAGCTAATTGATAATTTTGGCAACAGAACCATAACGCTGGAAGAAGCCATTAACTCCATCCAATTTCCGAAGTCCAATTTCCTTTTCAGTGCAGGAGTCCAAATTAAATCATCCACATCAGATAGCTGACCAGCAATCTAGAATATATTAGGACAGCGAAGCTTTGAAAGTTATTGTTCAAATATTATATGAATGTCAGATCTGCATCTATAAGGCCTATGGTTATTGTGGATGTACAGTAAAAATATTTACATTTCAGTGCCTTCTTACTCCTGGGAGCAGGAATTATCTTTATCACATAGATTTAGTGTTTAAACTATTGACTTAAAATAATGTATTTTGACTCCTAGACTCTCTTCTCCTAGCCTTCAGGATGGATTCAAATCAAACTGGAGAAAAGCTAATGAAGAGATTATGTGTATTTGCAAGTTTTCTACTCAATGGTTCATGCAACTGGTATTTGGGAGGGCTAAAGGATTCATCATGGAAAAGCAGTCAGTGTTAATCTCCAGAAACAGCTGAGCATGATTCCTGTCTTTACGATGGTATATGATGCAAGGATTCAGAAACCTGCAGAAACCTACTGTATCTATAAAGTGAACAGCTTTCTCTCCAGCACAATTAATCAGCCTACTCATTGAGTTTCTGGAGGAGACCTTTTGCAACATCCTCACCTTGGAATCAGCATGACCGTATAAAGTAAAAGGAGTACAGTTAGTGGGACACCCAGCTCCATTAACATAACATCTACTCTTCTATGAAGAGCATGTGAGAACTGTTTATACTTTATTTCAGGTCAACAGTAAACAGAAGTTCCCAATAGGGTTGTCAAATTCTGCTTAATATTTAACAGATTGGTTAAAGTGCTTTAGAAGTATTAGTACATTTCTTTCTGTATGCTTATGCAATCATTGAACATTATAAACCATTTCTTTACATCAATAAAGTGGGAAAAGGCTTATTTCCAACAAGCCAAGAAATTCAGTTGAATTTTGGGTAAATAAAGAGTTGCTGACAGGGTGAGTGACATTTTACCTTGAACTTTGAAACTTGATTTCATTCAAACTCTATTTAATGAAGTAAGATGGTGCTTCAAATTTTAAGATATTTTTATCAGTGTTTAGCTACTATGTATTTTCTGCATACATGACTCTGCTCATTATAGTGTTTCAGCACTTTACAGGTGAATATTATGCACATTTTCTGAAATAAATGAATTGTTTTCTTTTCTTGAAGATGGTGTGTGCATTCAGTAACAGTCATTTGAATTTTTAAAAAGTGGTTATTTTTTACTCTGGTATTGTTGAGTAGATTTATGTATTACCTCCCTAATTGTGTGAATATTTTTGATACAGGCTTAAAATACAACAGCATCCTGGCTTGGTTAGAAGTGGTTTATCAGGTGAAACCATAGTTAACTAGCTTGTCCTTCTGCTTGTATGACAGAAGAAATAAAGTGATGCTGTGATCATGGTTTATCTATATCTTGTTTATATATTGCAATCAACATTTCTACTGGGACTTCAACATACATGAGGGCCTCACCTCATTTTATACCCACAACAGCCCTGACAGTAGCAAAAGTATCCTCCCAAAAAAGTATATTTGCCTCGCAGTGTTGGACGCAAGGCTTGAAGAATGCTTCATGGTCCCCCCTTCCCTCTTCAGGGACCTGTGCTCAGTAGGTCGGGTGTGAAGACATCTAAGAAGCTCTGGGGCCAATGGACACTTGAATCTGCTTCTCCTCTGTCAAAACCCAGCACTCTTCATTACTGTGACAAACAGTTATCTGGATAACACATGACTTCATTTTAATAAGTACGAGCAATTCTCTGTCAAAACCCATATAAAATGAAATTGTTTTCTATAGAAATATTTAGAACAAAAAAGGGTTTGCCTCCCAACAAACGTTCCTGCAACAGGAAAATGCCATAAAGAGTGAGACAAGAGAAAAAAGGTCCTGTATAATTGAAAGATGATATCATTCACTTCTTTTGCATTAAGTAGTTATTCTGTTGATTAAAAACAAAAAAACAAACATGCTGATTGGGAAGTCAATTTATGTCAGGATTCAGCCTCTATCAGCCTTCCAGTGTTCTTTATAAGTAACTTCTACTATGTTTTTCTTTAAAAGTCAAGAAAATGCATCAATATAACGTGTCGAAAAGCAAAAATTATAGAGCTCAAATGAATAAGCTTTTTCAAATTCTGAAATATTGCAGCAGTCTGAGGCACATTCAGTGTACATCAAATTCCACAGTGGTTTCAGCTTATAATGGTTTGTCCAATGTATAAGACATTGCTGTACCTTTTCTTATTCCTTCCTATCCTCTCAGTTTAGCATTTAGCTTCTTAGAGAATTGCCACAAATGCCGTATTCTCATTCAGCTTTTCTTATATGGCTTCTTTGCCGTTTCCTCCTAAAAACAACTATATCAGATTCAAATAACTCTCTCTCTCTCTCTCTCTCTCTCTCTCTCTCTCTCTCTTTCTCTACACACACACACACACACACACACA